ACTGTTCAGTGTGCAACACTAATGGCAGGTTGCATTGAAAATCCCTCTCCAAAGTTTCCCCCTCAATGAAAGGAGGTTTTGAATAGTGACCCTCAGGCAAGGACTATAGCAGTGCATTGGCCCCGTGATCTGTCTGGTGCACCATGTGGACTCTAATGTATCTGTGCAAGGAGCAGGCACTATTGCCACAGGACTTTTCAGGATCGCACGACTTGGCACAGCTCTGAGAAGACCTCTGTAGACGTGCCCTTGATAACAGCCATAACCCACGACCTAAGTGCCTTTTGCAGCCATGTTGATTTCAAATGGGGATGGAGCTGTAACTTCATTCCTACACTTACCTGGGAGTAAGTACCACTGAACTCAATGGGACTTAGACATGTTTTGGTCATGCAATGGGCCCAGCTCTGCATTAAAGCAGCCAGGTGAAAAAGAGGACAGGGCTCCTGCAACTTCTATGGTTGTGCAGAAGAGGGGGATTTAAGCAGCAGTAGCCTGTTATGCCGACATTTTCTTTTCTACACCCCAAGGGATGCAGGGAGCTGCCTTACCTTGAATCAGAACTTTGATCTATCTAGCTCATTGCTGCCTACACGGACTGGGTTCTAGGGTTCTAGGCAGGGGATATTCCCAGACCTTCGTGGAGATGCTGGGGGATTGAAAATGGGACCTTCTGCACGCAAAGGAGGTGCTATGACCATTCCCCCTGGGGGGGGTCCACCTTGCCACCTTACTCTGTTGCTAGTAGAAAAGGGAAGGGACAGGTGATGGAGACAGATATAGTAATTTAGAAATGAACAGGGGAGTCAGAAGAAGAAGAGTTTGGATTCAATATCCCGCTTTATCACTACTCTAAGGAGTCTCAAAGCGGCTAACATTCTCCTTTCCCTTCCTCCCCCACAACAAACACTCTGTGAGGTGAGTGAGGCTGAGAGGCTTCAGAGAAGTGTGACTGGCCCAAGGTCACCCAGCAGCTGCATGTGGAGGAGCGGAGACACGAACCTGGTTCACCAGATTACGAGTCCACTTCTCTTAACCACAACACCACACTGTACACAAATACAGGGAGAGAGGAGTGAAGCGTTTGGAAAGGTGGTAAGAATAAAAAATGGACTGCAAGTAAGGGGGAGTAAAGGAAGCTACTTGAGGTAATTCAAAGATTGTGCACAATGAGAAGAACAAGACAGGTGGGAAGAATCTTCGACTTTGGCTTGAGACATTGTCATAACAGCAGGGAGAAGCATTAGCGAGACGTCCCTTAGAACTAGGATGAAGCAGAAGGTCTGTGGCAGAAAAGGCAAATTGGTGAGCTTCTCCTCACAAAGAAGATAAACTAAAGCCAGAGATGTGAAGAGAAGCATCCTTTGAGTTGTCCTGATGTGAGAAGAGCGGAAGCATCAAGAGTGGCTGCCTTTTGGATCCTGTCCAGGGAGGAGAAAAGACAAAGCAGACCCTACTTTTTTAAAAATAAAAAATAAAATCAAAATGATGAGAAGCTGGAGATCTAGGAAGAACAGAGGTGGAAAGTGTCACAGAAGTTCACCGAGGAAAGAAAGTTGAGGATGGCAGAAGAATTATCTGGGCCTGATTGATGGCCATCTATGAGAATCATGCGGGAAAACTTTCTCTTAAAACTATGGTTTCAGCAAAGAAATTGAAAAAGCCAAACTGGAGGGGTGGGGAGTCAAGGAGAATCGATAGACAACAAATACATCACTCAAAGCCAGTCTAAACAATGTGTTTGCCATGGGGACTGGTACCTCCTTAGTAAACGCCGGCTGTGTAGTGAAGGGCACGATGTGCAAGTCTGAACTGCTTCGTTCTGGGTGCCTTCAGCCCATGTCAGTGGTGTTTACTGGTGGGGACTTTCACTCTATCAACATGCTGGCCTGGAGCTGTTCTTAATTTAAACAGTATGTCCTGAGCTCAGGGTGTAAGTGTGGTGAGTGGAACATCCAGGACAGGTCTCACTTGAGGAGTTTAAAAGGGAATGGAAACATTCCATTAGCAGGAATGAGGAGGCCCATGATATTTCTTAATCGGTTTTAATGCAAGGTGGGGGAATCTGTAATCCTCCAATCCCCACCAGCCTCCGCAACATGGCCAACGATCAGTTATGAGGGGAGTCATAGTCTCACAATGCGCAAAAGAAAGGGAGGGACCTGAACTAAAAGAAAGGGGAATCTCAAGATATATTTAGTAACTGCACAAAAAGCTACACAACCCCTAGGGTGCCTCTGGATGTTACAAACGAGCATCACCAATGAATATTCTTCTGCAGTCAGTTGACAATGTTTGAATGTCAAATTTGCAAACTCCAAGGCAGCCCATGCCACCTCCCTCCACGGATCTTAAGAAGTCATGGCACGCAAGCACTACCAGACGACCGCAGAAGAAACAGCACAGGCAACGAGAGGGTCTTGTTCACACCATGCAAACTCACTGTCACTCACCTTCACAAGTGCTCTGTGAGATTTATATTTTAGAGGCAAGGAGCTGGCAATCACTTGCCTAAGACAGTCTAGTGAGTCCATGGCAAATGTAGGCTTTGTTGACCTCTAGCTCAACTCTTTAGCTAACAGACTACAAAACTGTGAGGTTGGTGGGAGACCAGAAAATGGAAAGGCAGCACAGCCTTGGCTATCAATGGCTACCAGCCACAGCGGCTTTGTTTTCCCTCCACTGTTGGAGAAAGAATGCTTCTGAATACCAGTTATTGGAGAGCAGAAGTGGGGAGCCTGCTGTAATGCTCAGGTCCTCATTGTGGGTTTCGCATGGGCATTTGGTTAGCCACTGTGAGAACGGGATGCGGGACTAAGATGGGCCTCATCTGTCTTCTTTCACGAAGAATCAGCAAGGAATGTGGATAACTGTTGGCATCAGTCTGCCTTAGGAGACAATGGAGGAGTGCTTCTTTGGGAGTGGTGTCAAACTGTTGGAAGGTTACAGGAGAGGATACAGGAGAGACATGTTTTGTTGCATCTGGGGCAGGTGAAGGTGTCCGCTTGTGCTGATGCAGGTGAACCAGGATGTTTCTTCTCTCCGTGCTCCTCCCAGCAGTCATTCCTATGGACGCATGACCTGATAAGTCTCCAGGCACTCTGGTCATCTGCAAAGGATCCCCACACGGCGGGTTAAGAGATCGCCCCATAAAGGTCAACCAAATCTGGAGACTGCAAGAGAACAATGAAGAGGAAGGTGGAGGATTTGAAGAAGACAGCAAATTATATAGAAGCCAGGAAGAAAAGGAAGGAGAGTGGATAGCAGAAAACTGAGAATCCAAAGTCCGTTTGGATAAAAGTGTTTTCTACCACAGAAGAATGCTCATCAGGTGGGCAGGGGCCAATGACATGGAGCATTGATTTTGCTAGGAAGAGACACAAACACTCCCTACTTTTGCCACAGGTTGTTCCACATGATTTTAGTATTCCAGTGGATTTAATATTCAAGTGCATGTTTCATTTTTTTGGAGGGGGGAAGTTACCGTTGGAGAAAGAGAATCCAGAAGTGCAAGAAAAGAACCATAATGGGAGGGTAAAGGGGCTGGTATGAAACTGGAAATTAAAAGGGTAGTGTGAAGAAGGAAGGGGTGGCAGAATGTGTATTATAGAATAGCCATAATAGCGGCTATGTTTTACCTCCACTGTCGGAGACGGTATGCCTCTGTAGCAATTGTTGGGAATCAGAAGTTGAGAGACTACTGTTGCACTCAGGTACTAAATGTGGGCATCCCATAGGCATCTGATTGGCCACTGTGAGAACAGATTGCTGGACCAGGTGGGCCTTTGATCTGATTGACAAGGGATTTTCTTATGACTTTGAACTGGTTCCACAGCCATTCCTTCTCTCCAGGGACAATGGAGGTGTGCAAGTGATTCCCCCCCCCAGCAGATTCTCAGCACCTTCTTCAAATTATGATCTATTCATGACAGCTAAACTGGAATAAAGTGATGTGCATTTTAGTGTCAATATGGCTGATGGGACATTTTGTCCCCAAAAATGATTCCTGGGTTGCTTGCCTTATGTTTATATATGAGGGAAGTTTTGATCAGAATGGGCCAACTTCTGTAATTGTCCATGGATTTCCAGAATTGTGGCTTCTTGTTATGAAATTCCAGATGCATGGCTATGTTAGTCTTGATATTGCCCCTAATCTCCATGCCAGAGCATGTGTTTGCGTGTGCAAGGTCCAAACACTGGCATTGCTGGCTAAAGGATGCCTGGTATCAAGAAAGGCCTCCATCTGTAAAACTTAAGAGAGCCACTGCCAGTGAAAATAGTGAATAATGGCCTAGGCTAGATGGATTCAGGGTGTAATTCAGGGACTAGGTTCATTCAAAGACTACTTTTTAAGATGTGGTCATTTACCTACACATACATCTGTCATTCTCTTATGAGCTAAAATGTTGCAGACCACATGGACCAGAGAAGTAGGTAGGGGGAAGAGTAAACATAGCAGAAGCAGCAACGTCATAAACCACGATTACACCTTTCATGGTGGTATCATAATAAACGTAGAGTGGGCCAGATTCAACAAATGAGTCCCACTAGCAGAAGCCTGAACAGGGACTTCTGCTAGCACAGTGGAGCTTCTCTGTTCCTCCTGCAGCCCCTCCACCTTAGGCTCTGGGAGGTGGTACTTCCACTAAGCATAGATGACCATTTCTAATTCCCATGCAATGGAAATCAGATGCCCTTCACTTACTATGACATTGTATGTGAAATGTTAGGCAGGCTAGTCTTGTTTCTTTATTATTAAATATTGTTGTTGCGCACGAGCTCTATGCAAGCAGGGGCTGCCTCGTTCTATGACATGGTAGTGGCATTGTACATGAAGCTCTCCCAACATTGAAGAGCTGCATGCTACTCAGTGCCCCAAAAACCTGGAGCAGTGTGAGATGGACCAGTTGCTGACATAATTTTGAAAGTTATGCCAACCAGGTTGGTGGCCGCACTAGGTTACCATGTTGTTTGCCCAGCTAGGTGGTGCAGTGGGGAAAGGCCATAGCTTAGTGGTAGGGCATCTGCCTCTCAAGCAGAAGGTCCCAGGTTCAATCCCAGGCATCTCCAGGTGAAGTGCAGAATGTCCCCCACCTGAAATCCCAGAAAGCTTCTGCCAGTCAGTATAGACAGCACTGACCTAGATGGACCAATGGTCCGACTTGGTATAAGACAGCTTCCCATGTTCCTAGTGGAGTTCAGTCCTCAGCCAATGGACAACTGAGCGGTGATGTATTTTGGGTCCTTTCCACTTGGATGCGTAACATGAGACCAACCCATGCAAAAGCATGGGGGCACGGGGGCCGACAGGAGGGGAAAATATAGTATTTCCTTAGTTACTTAAAACAAGTGATGTATTTTGAGGAGGCGTTGGACAAAATAAGGCAACAAAAATGCTATTGAATGAGAACAATGTGACAATTTCTTACAAATTAAAAAGGCAAATGAGAAATAAGCCATTCTGTTACACTAGGAAGAGCAAGAGACGGTATCACAGAGGTATGTGTTTTTAATAAAGCAAATAGATGCTGCAACATGCAGTATTCGTAAAACTTGACAACATATACAGACCTCTCAGGAGGAAAAATATATATATATGTAATCAGAACCAGAGTCCAGATATTTAAAGACAATGTATACACAACGTTTTGATAAAACCTATCCATTGTACAGAATATATAAAAAGAAGAGCAGCTCCCATCCCGGCTTTCGTTCCAACCGGACAAAATGTGAGAAAGAGGTTGTTCCCCAAGTGGTTGGGCCAAGCTGGGCCTGCTTTTGGGGATGCGCAGCACAGACATCCCCTATGCGCCCCCAGAGTGCAGGCAGGCGCACCCACAAGCAGCTTCTGCTTTTGCTACGGCACCGGGTGGCACAACAGAGATGTTTCCAGTTCACCTGTCACGTTGGGTTTTGAGTTTATTTTAAGGTGGGCGAGGGAGGGGCTCACAGGGAGGGAGTTGCATATTGTTTCCGTTTCTGAGCTTGTCTGTGATTGTACGCAATGGTGCAGGAAGTGGGGGCTGAGGGGGAGGGCTGGCTGAGAGTCCCTTTTCACAGACGAATATGAATGAATTGGATGTTGTGGCCAATCAGTTCATCTTCCATTCTTAAGAGGGGAAATGGGGGGGGGAGGGGGACATCCATATGGAAAAGAAAGGTCCCCTCCGCTGAAAAAATAAAATAAAGCAAGATCTTTGCTCTTAATACAAGACACTGTTCCCAGGGGCAAAGCATTTTATTGTGATATAAATAGGGAGCTTTCTGGGTCTTTAGGCTACTAATACGTACATCAAAATGCCCCCATGAAGAAAACCTTGTGGTCTTCTCTTAAAAGCTGCTTCTCTCGCTGAGGGAAATTTACAGAGTGTGTCAAATGAGGACACGCAAAGCTTATGGAATGTACTTTAAGCAGTTTTTTTTATTTTTTTATTATTTATTTTTCAATTAAGGGACAAAATGGGTGAATGAACAGGGTAATGCAGACAACTGCCCGATTTATAAAAATAAAAAAATAAAAAATAAAAATAAAACCCCAAAAACACAGACAGTGGTTTTCCCAATAGAACTTAACAAAGACTAGAACAAAAACCAAAAGAAAAAATACAATAAAGAGCCAGGTTGCCAATGACCTTTGGTCATCTAAATAATAATAATAAAAAAACAATAAAAAAAAAACAAAGATCAAATCCAACGCCTCTGTTCTGAACAGAGCGTGTAAGCAATAATAAATAGTGACTTCCATAGTAAAAGATAAAATTTCAAGTTACGACAAACAGCTTTCATTACAGGAATAGAAAAGGCCCATAATAACAAAATATTTTGCATTGCCATATACAAAAAAGGTTTCGTATCCAGAGGGGCTCCTCTCTCTCTCGCTCTCTCTGTCTCTCTCGCTCTCTCTGTCTCTCTCTTTTTTTTAATATGCTTTGCATATGAAATCCTTTCCGATCTAAATATATAAAGCACCATTTAATTTTTTTTTCTTTTTGGCAATGGAAAAAAAAACCTGCGAAACTTTTTAAATTTTTTTCTTCCTTTCGTTCTAGTTTTTTTTAATTTTTTTTTCTCCTTTTACTGCATATGAAGATTTTTATTTTTAAAGATGCTGGAATGTAAAGGGGTAAGAGAAGAAGAAAAAAGGGGACGAAAGAGCACACTACGGAACAAACCAACATCATCACCTTGCATTACTGCATACAATATGGCAGCGGAAAGAAAAGTAACCCCCTTTGATATGTACAACCATCTGCAACGCTCATTAAGTGCGACATTCAAACAGATTCTTTCTCTCTCTTTTTTTCCTCCCCACCCTCCCTCCCCCCAAAACAGCCATTATATGGCCTCTTATCTGTACAATGTCACACTTTTTCTTCTAAAAAAAAAATGGTTTTTTCAAACATACAAATAATTTGCACTATATTATCCTGCCAAATTAAAAAAATATACTGTGGCAGCCTGTTTGTTTTGTGTGTGTGTGTGTGTGTGTGTGTGTTTTTCCACTACCAAAAAAAAGGTACAATGATACCTTTTCTTTCTTTTCTTTTTTTTAAAGAGAAACAAGCAACAGTTAAAAATACAAGCTTCATTATAAATACTATAGTGCCTACTCTAGGTGAACATTAAATTCAAATACCATTCTAGAAATTACAGAAAAAAGAGACCATAAATGTGTTTTTCTTCTTGTTTGTTTGTTTGTTTTCTCTTCTTCTTAGCATAGGAACCAACAGGAGTGTGCATTTTCCTATATTTTAAGTACTATATATTCTTAACCCTTTCCCCAATGTATTTATTTTACAACCTGAAGAGTTGTGTATATAACCAAGGCATAGGATTTTCCACTACTGGTTTTCAATGAAGAGCAGGTCTTGTACACCACCAAGACAATGAACCCTAAAATACAAGTTTGTTTTTTTCTCCCCTAAACAAAATGAAGTGTTTTTGTTAAAAAAAAATCATAACATTTATATTTTAAAAAGTTTTGTACAAAAAAAACCAAACCCATCCTTGCACTGTAGGAGTGAGAGCAATCATTCGTTATTTTTTATATAATTGTACGACCTGTTCCCATTCACAGCGCCGTAACGTTGAGTCCCAGTCATTAAGTCAAGTAAAACGGCAAGCTGGCAGAGTTTCTTATATGCTCATCATGAGATCATGCTCATATATATTTTTTAATTTTTTTTTCATTAATCTTGCAATTTTTCCCTTAAAAGTATAGAGACCTGTAAACTGGGAAAATTGTACAGTGCATTTAAATTGTCCTATCTGAGCAGTCTTAAAAGGTTTTTTTTTTATACTCAACCTGTGTACCTCTGATTAAAGGAAAAAGAGACATACACAACAGGCAGAGTCAAGTGCTATGTGAACATCCAACGGGGCAGATCCTAGCTTAATCATAAAAACAATGAATCCTTTTCCCATGTCAACACAACGAGCACATAGCATATGGTAAAAAGAAACAAAATGAAGTACAACTTTTAGGGAGCACAGACATACTCTCTGCTACTCTTTTTAAATTATCTTTCTCTCTTCTTCTTTTTCAGAATGTCACACTTCAAGGCAAATCTTAATAGTTCATAGTTAATCATCATATCAATATTAGCTTATAACCTGTTCTTAGTTTTAAATGGCAAGCAGTACCACATTGTGCTAATAAATCACTGTTTTTTATTTTGTTTTTTTTGCTATGTGTTACACTCAGTAAAATATTATTGCCGGACTGTTTTATATGTCTTTCCCTATATAGAGAGAGAGATCAATAGATTGATATGCGGTAGGTATGCAAGGTTGTACGTTTCTAATTTGATTGTCAAGTTGACAACCAACTTAATTCGGATATTTACTTATTTTCATTCTTCTTCCTTTTAGGTTTTGTGTCCTTTTGTGTGCCAGAATCACTAAAAGATATTGGTAAAATCTTTAAAACATGAATTTTCTTCCTAGTGTATTTAATCATCTTTCAAGGCCTTCTGCACTTTTCACATTCATTTTCTTCTTATTTTTTAATCATCAGAATAATGATCAGAATCTCAAAATTGCAAGGGGGCGGGGCAAAGAGAGGGAGACAGGGTACTGGTTGGGTAACAGGATGAGAGAAAAATCATCTGCAATGGTCCCGGGATGTTTTCAACACTCTGGAGGGGAATCAATTTGGGTTGTATTCAACTAAGTTATACTCAGAGTAAATCCTCTGAAATCAATGCACTTAAATTAGTCTTGTCCATTCTTTTCAACGAAGCTACTCTTAAGTAGGACTAAGACTGGCTACAACCCTTTGAATTAGGTGACTTTGGGCGGAGGTTAGTTGGAACAGGAGTGCATGGGTAGGATCGAATGATGATTAACTAGGACGTATTGGGTTTCCTTTCTTAATTATTTGATTTAGGTAGCCACTGTTGTGAGAAATACAATATAGAGTTATCGGCTAGGTCCTAAAGGACTCGTTTACATTGCCCAGTGCGAAAGTTGAGCTACAAGTTTAGAACAAGTAGGGTTGCCACCAACATGGCTTAAATAGATTCAAGGCACTCGGATTTCCATTTCTTAAACCAAATGATAGTACAAATTTACCTTTTTTCCTTTTATGTCCTTATTTTTCAATTAAAGGCCTACTTTTTCCCTTCCCTCCCCCACCACAAAAACAACTGATACGTTAACATCCTTTTAAAGACAGAAATTGAGATAACACTGTGGAATACCCTTTTCCCTTTTCAGTGTTATCCATCTGTCCAGAGAGGGTTAATTCAAAGAACATTGCCCCTATACATTTCAAAACAAAACTGTACATGATATGTGTCACAGAATGCACGTAGCATGGTTGGTTCTGTTAAAAAATGTTTTCATTCTGATTTTCCTCCCCCCTCTCTTTTTCCTAGAACATTACAGGAAATGGGTACATAGCTGTCTGAGTTAGTATTTGGGTGGGTGGGTGGGTATTATCATTTTGTTTGCTCAGCAACCAATCAGGGGACAATTTTTTAAAAAAAACAGCCATAACATACCATACATGCTGTCTAATTTTTTTTAAAAAAATTAACAAACATACACAACATGTAAATTATTGCACAAGAGAAAGGCTCAAAGTTTGCGTAGTATTGCCCCCAATACAGATCATGCATTCAAATGGTGAAAACAGAAACGAAAAGAGGAAAAAATAAAAAAATAAAAAATGAAAATGAAAACAGGTGTGCTGGTGACTAGCACTTTCTTAATATCATCCTTAGCTTCCATTATTTTACTCACAAGGGACTAGAAAATCTCTACACCGGGGTGGGGTGGGGGTGGGGGTGGGGAGTTGGTTGGGGAAAGGGAGAAGGGGGACATGTTAATATACCTCTATTCAGTTTTTATGTCATTATTCAAGACTCGATCACTGTGCCATTTTTTCATGTGTTTTTCCAGGGTACTGTACACGCTAAAAGGCATCTTACAAATTTCACATTTGTAAACGTCCTTCCCCACCTGACCATGCGTTTTCATGTGCCTGGTGAGTTTGCTACTCTGGGCGCACGCGTAGTTACACAGCTCACATTTATAAGGCCTTTCCCCAGTGTGGCTCCTCCTGTGGACAGTGAGGTTACTACAGTTCTTGAAGACTTTCCCACAGTACTCACAAGTGTCGCTGCGTCTGCCCTCTTTTGAACTAGGCCTTCCAGGGCCTGGACCACTAATATGCGGGGTGCTCCCTCCACTTCCTGTACCGCTGCGGCCTGATATCCCTCCATCCATCTCCCCAGGAGGCGTCGAGAAGCGTAAACTTCCGTTTTCGGAGGAGTGTTCAGAGGAGGAAGCAAAAGGCGATTGTCGGGAGTCTCCAAAGTTGAGGAATGGATCTTTTAGCTGCCGAGAAGCAGCGTACCCAGCTAGCCACTGGGAGTAAACATTTTCAGTGTTAGGCATAGCTGTTGCGGGAAGGTCAAACTCCTTTTCAAGTTTGATGCGTTTGGAGAAAGGGCTTAGGGAGCTCGGGCTACCCAAGAGCAGCTTTTTTGACAAACCTCCAGAGGCAGATTCACCAGGGGAACACCCCCGACCATTAATAGCGCCATCGTCGAGGCGATCGGATTCACCAGCTACCGAGTCTTCGTCGCAAGTGTCTCTATGTACCTCAGATTCGGACAAATGCCCTCGTTTATGTTTCTCTCCAAGGACCTGATGGAAGGCCTCGCTGAAGTGCTGCATGGAGCTCAGAACCATCCCTTGCATGACATCCGGCATGGAGCGGTTCTCATCGACAGACCGGGAGTTGTTCTCATGGTGACGAGCTGCTTCTAGATTAATGCCAAACCCATAGTCTGGCCGTTCATTTTCAGTCAAATCCTCCTCTTCTTCTTCCTCTTCCTCTTCTTCCTCCTCCTCCTCCTCCTCTTCTTCTTCATCCCCGTTTTCTGGAATCATATTGGAATCATTCTCACTCTTAAACTTGGCCACTACGGATTTTAGGGCACTGCTAGCACTGCCAACAAGGTCACTGGTTCCAGGCTCTGGGGAGCTGGCCGTGGAGAGGCCATCGTCAGACTTCACTGTCATTGGGGAGGATTTGTGCATATGGGTTTTCATGTGGCGCTTTAGCTTGCTTGCTTGAGTGCACGCGTGGTCGCAAAGGTTGCACTTGTAAGGTTTTTCTCCAGTGTGGCTGCGGCGGTGGACAACTAAGTTGCTCTGAAACTTGAAGGTTTTCCCACAAAATTCACAGGACTTGGATTTGACGGGAGGCTGGGAAGGGGGAGGAGCGGGAAGAGGAGGGAGAGGCGGCGTGGCCAGAAAGGGTGGCTTGCTGCCTGGCTGGAATGGTTGCAGTAACCTTTGCATAGGACTGGGCCGGTTCGGTGACAATGGCGGACTAGAGGTGTTTCCAGCTAACTCCCGAAGCCGCCTGGAGAAATCCATTGCTGGGGGCTCCATGGCCATGGGGTTGAGTCGCAGCACCCTGTCAAAGGCACTGGGGTGATGGGTTGCAAGGGCCATTTCTTCGGCACCCAGGCGTTCTATGCGGTGTGGATCCAAGTGATGCCTTGGAGGGGGACTAAACAAAGGCGGCGTGGGAGGGAAGCGCCCTTCTCCGAGACCCGAAGCTTCTCTTGCAACCGATCCGGGTATTCTAAGGAGGTTAAAGGGATTATTGTCTGCAATGTGGATCCCGTGGAGCGGTGGCTGTGAAGGGCATTCAGCACCTAGTCCTGATGGGATACCAACCCGCGGTGTTAGGGGGCTTCCGTGGTCACTTTCTAAGTAGATTCTTAATCCATGAGTGTTCTGTGCGTGTTGCAAGAGAAACCAGGCGCTGTTGAATGGCTGTTTACATGTTGTACATGTGTAGCTGCTGGGTTCATCTTTACCTGCAAAAAACAAAACAAAACACCACAGTAGCATCAATGTTTAATAACCAAATAGCTTCCTTAAGAACGTCAGACAAGACCTGCTGCTGGACCAGACCCAAGATCTTTCTAGTCTCCCACCCTGCTTCCCACCATGGCCAATTGGATGCTTCCGGGAAACCCACAAGCTGGGCTTAAAGGCAATAGCTAACTCCAACTGTTGATGATCCCCAGGAACTGGCATTCAGTGACAAACTACCTCTGAACATGAAGATCCCACTTAGCCATCAAGATAGACCTCTCAACTCTGTGATTGTGTCTGATCCTTTTCTAAAGCCATCCCCAATCATCTGTCAACCAATTTCATTTGATGACCCCTAAGTTCTAGTATTTCATATTTCTACATCATGAATAATTTTATAAACCTCTGCTTTATATGCCTGGTATTTGTTGACTCATTTTACTCTTTCTTGAAAGTCATTCCTTTCCTCAGAAATAAACTTCAGCAATAAGTGCAAACACTTTAACACATAAGCAGATACACTCCACATACAGCTAAGGCCTTGATCCTAGTCCAATTTATACCAATGCACATTGTGGCCATAATCCTAAGCATAGTTTACTTAAGAGTAAAACCCATTGAGCTCAGTGGGGCATACTGCTATGTAGATATGCACTGCTATAATTGTAATCTAAAGCCAGAAGTATCAAGTCTCTGGATTTGGAGTAGTTCTGCTATGGTCTCATGGGATTAATCTGATCCATTATTGGAGGATCATAGGATACTGTGATCCTAACAGTATTTAACCTATGGGCATTGAATAACTTCAAATTTAGGTACCTCCACTAATTTTTAATGAGATTATTTAAATATACATTTTCTGGTTTACTTCCAAGGAAGTATTTTAGTGCACATGGTTATGGTCTAGTGTTGCAATCCTAACCGTACTTATTTCCAAGTAAGTCCTGCTTAAATAAATTATGAAAATACATGCCAAAGATAAGGGTGCATATCTCATAGGATCAGAGCCTAAGCCAATTAATTATATGCCAGTCCTCATTTGGAAGCATGTGATTTTTGATTTTTGTTTTTTAAAAAACTTATTCTGTAAAAAACCTTGTTTCAAGCTGTCAGCTGAGAAAATGAAGCCTGAAATATATGATATAGTACAGCCTTTCTTTCTCCAACTGGCTTATGGGTCACCCAAACAAATCTAGATAACCAGATGGCTGGATAGCTAGATAAACATGGATTTGGATAACTTGGATCCAACATCTGGCTAAGAAACTAGCTGAATATCCAAATTTAGAGGGGCTAAATAGAAGAAACCTACAGGAGCCATCTTGCTTTTCTTTAAAATGCTTAAGACTGTAAATGTCATTGTGAAATGCAGCTATACATCTGAAATTTGATATATCTATCTACTGTATAAGTAACAATTAATTTTAACCAGTATGACATGGTCCCGCTTCCTGCTATCCTGATAACAACCATGTGACTGGCCCGTGGTCGGCCAATAAGCAGGCGTGCCAACTATTGGGGGCCGAGACACCTTGATCCCCTCAATATTTGTTTTAGGAGGGGTGGGCCCCCTCAATCTTCAGGCAGCCCTATGCGCATGTGATGTCACACACCGCAGGTCCAGTGGCCATCTCCTCCAGAGCACTCGGCCTTCCACAATGCGCATGACATCGCACACGCGCAACAGCATTGCGCCCTCCCAATCTTGGGGGCAACCTCACGTCTCTGGCTGTAGGATCTCAACTTTGCCCTACCCAGTATTAAGTCTACTCTGCTACCCCACACTGAATTCCTTGGTGTACTGTAATTTAAATATCACCTAGCAGAGCTGGCCCAATACATTTAGCAGCCTGAGGCAAGGACGAGATGGTCCTCCCACCTTGCTTTCTGGACTTGCAGTTAACTCTTACTTCAGCGCTGGTGGTTGGTCAGCATCCTCCACCACACCTGAGGGCTACACACTAACATAGGGCTACACGCAACTAGTTGTGCATTCTAGTTAAGCCCTAAACTCCATAGCGAATCTCAAGTTACCCCATATGCTAGACAAGTACCCACTAGCTTGTACCATCAATCCTACACACATCAGTGGAAGGTGGTTGTTGTTGTTTGCCATCTACTTGTTAAGTCTAGTCCCTTGACAGAAAAGGGCAGTGATGCTTATCCTCTTTAGTTTTCCCTTGCAAATAGTCAGGTAGCTTGGACAATCACCAACAACGGTTCTTTGTACCCCTTGGTAGTTGCCCGCTTGGGAATCCCTGGTGCTGTCATTCCCAAGAGCAACTCCACATATTACACTGCAATTCTGCTACACCTGCAGCAGACATATATCCATAAATAGCTTATACAAATATGTGGGAGCCCTGATGCACGAACACAGAGATGCTTAAGGGCGCCTGCCTGAAGTTCACAGCATTTATGTGCTCACTGAAGGAAATACTGCTTCTCCCATTAGGACAGGACTGTCATATTCATAGCAGTTCTGCCAGGCCAGAGATGAGGAAACCATGACCCTCCAGAAATGGTTAAGACTTTAACCCCCATCAACACCAGCCAGTCTTGCCAATGGCTGGGCATGATGGGAAATGCAGTCCAACAAAATGCCGAAGGACTGTGGTTTGATGGGAGAGGATGTCAAGGTCCCAAGTTCAATCCCCAGCATCTTTACATAAAGGTTCTTTAGAAGCAAGGAAATACCTCTCTATCTATGAGGTTTTGGGATGGGTGCTGCTGAAGCAAAATGGACCAACTGTCTGACCAGTATAAGGCAGCATCATATGAATTGGAGAGAAAAAAATAAACTGTAAAAGGGATAAATCCTTATTATTCTCTTTCAGTGGTCTGTTTCCACCAAAAACAATGGGGGGCATTGAGAGGACAGCAAAAATTAGCATAAATAAATATCTTGGCAGCTAATTGTGACATTAACAAACCATTTTGAAAATGCGGAAACTGCCGAGCTCTTCCTGGGAATGCATGGGGGCACAGACACACACACAGTGTATTTCTATATACTGTACTAGTCTTTGAACAAGCAATGCTTACAATGGTATTTGACTGTGTGCTGATCTTCTAGGCTGACCTGTGATTTACTTTACGGTGGTGTTTATAATCTCACTCAATATAACCCACTTGTGGGCAAATCTTTTTTACAAGATTAGACAGTAGATGCCAAAATTAGGTTTCCAAACATATGCCTAATGTACGTGCGGGTAGAGAGGAGGGAGGGAAGTATGAAGTGGATGGGTTTTGAAAGAAAAACGCTGAAGTCCCCCTATCAAGTGATCTTCATTGTTCTTGTTTTCCTCCTCACTTCAAAGAAGGAGAAGAAAAAGCTTTATAAGGGGGATTTTCATTATACAATGTGTTGAATAAATGACTTTGGAAAATGACAGGCAGGCAGCTTTACAGTTATGTCTACTGCGACTCACACAGAGCCCCCCCCCCAACCCCTGCTCGTAGCTTCAGGTTTCTCTATTATTATACATTTAGTCTGACAATCTGAATTGGGTGAGTAAGAGAGAGAGAGAGAGAGAGAGAGAGAGAGAGAGAAATTGGAAGGAGGAAGAAAAGGAGAGATTCAGCCATCTCTGGCAGGTGTTTAACATTTTGGTTGCTTTAAAGGAACCCCTTTGGAATAATATTTAACATTTCATTCTTCTGCCAATGCCAGCTTTTTAATGAACCTTACTGTGATGTTTAGCGCAGGGCGCTGAAGACGGCAGCAGATAAATACGTAAATCTTCTGGAAAGAGGAAAACTCAATTGGGCATGCAGATTTCTGAACGCTTGTTTGTGGGCTTTGGGTGAGGGTCCAGAGATGACAAAGTGGGGTGGGGAAGGCAACAGGGAAGTCAAAGCAGTTGGCAATGTGGATAGTTCTCAATTCATTTTGCTGTTATAAACTAGAAGCTTTTTATAAAAACTGCAGCAAGTGATGCTATCACCCTCTGGTCTGCTTAACAATGCAACGCACCCCTGCTTTGCTAGTTTATGTATTAGGTCAGTGGAAATAGCACTGTATCTTATAATGAGGATACAACATAACAGTTTTTGTAATTGCATTTTAGCATTCCCATCAACTAGATATTCTGGATCAGAAGGGCAGCTGGTATAATCATAATGTCAATGAGAAAGGCTGTTACGGCAGAAAGTAAAGATTACATGGAGGGGGGAGCAGCTTTGAAACTGGTAATTATTACCAGTCCACTAATAGCAAATGATGCATTGCAGTTTCACCATATAATCTGTATTTCATTCAGCTTCTTGTTGGGGCAGCAGATTATATTACAGTGCTCACAATGCCAAAATTTCTAACCTACAGTCATCAATAAAAGCCTTACGTCCCATAATTTGGTAAATGACTTTCTTCATAACATCTTCAACTGTTGTAAAGGCTAGTATTGATTTCTTACATAGGGGGGAAAAGGCTTCATTTATTTACTGGAGTATAAAATGTAATATTTTTCTTCATTTGCTCAGATGAAAAACAAGTTTCCACTTTTACCATTCCTGTATGGTGGCGGGGGGGTGGGGAGAGAGAGAGAGAGAGAGAGAGAGAGAGAGAGAGAGAGAGAGAGAGAAAGAAAGAAAGAAAGAAAGAAAGAAAATGCAAGGCGAGAAAGACA